GGGCGCCCATGATTGTTGGTATTTAAATATTTTGACATTTAGGAAAACATTATTAAGAATGGTTGTTGCAAAATAAAATGGTTACGAAATATGTAAATTTACTATTTTTGTTCAAGCATTATTTGTGGATTACTTTTATTTCAAGTCGTATTAAATTAGAACAAATACATATTGTGCAAAGTGTTTTATTTTTTCAATTATGCGTAAATGATAGAGTTTGCATGACTATAGTTTCACAGGTTTTTCTCGTCTCACTCCGATTCAGCTTCCATTTGAAACATGTTTCTAACTTGAAAATTCGTCAATAAATAATCCATTATACCGAGTGTTACACCAATTATCATAATGCAGATTATTAGTAATATTAAGCCTTTGGGAACCGCGCCTGTAAGCTTGTCCAAAAGCGGTATTGGTTGATAAAATGGGCTATGTATGTAAATAGCGGCAATAAAAACTCTAAAACAAAATTATTTTAATTATAGAAAGATAAGAGTTTTAAAGGTTAATTTATATGTAAGTACACTATACAGTGTGATCTTATTTATTCATTTAAAGTCATTTTAAATATTTCGAATATAAAAAAATACTTACACTATGACAAATACACTAAGGACATGTTTAGAAGACATCATTTTATCACTCTATTAAGTTTGTCTGTATTTGACATTCAATTTCAAGATATGTTATTATTATTATCTTTAATTACTGAAATTTCTATCATTTTTTTGTCAATTACAAAATCACTTTTTTATTTTTTCAAAAAATAACAAAGCATCGGCCTTATTATTTTTAAATTTGAAAAGCAAACAAAAATACGACCATTTTTTATAAACATGAATAATTGTTTACCGTTCCAAAACAACTCAATCAAGTGTTCTGGTAATTTTTGTAGAATCTTATCTCAGATAAATTTTTTATTTAAGTTGAAGATAAAGAAAGGGAATTAAATGGTTTAGGAAACTATTCAAATTAAGTATTATCAAATTCTCAATAAATTTTTATTTGTCTATATTAAAAAACTAGTGTTTACACACAGAGGAAAAATTATGCAAAAACACTGATGTTTTGCTTTATAACAAGATGTACATTACAATTCATCCTGAAAAACATTACTCATGTTTTTTCATATCCATACAACATTTCTATCTGTTCATCAGTTGTAAAAAAATCCTAATTTTATTAAGAACAATTCCAATTTAAACATGTTCAACTGAAAATCTGCCAATTTTTTTTGTACTCGATTAAACAGGTTTCATGCTTCTGTATAGATTTTTTCTTTGATCAATAGATTTAAAATTGCAGTGTAATATTTTGGCACCAATGAGTACGCTAATAATTCCTATAGTTATCCTGACAATTATTTTATAGTGCTGAAAGCTGAAGCCATTTTGGACATCCTGACACGTTGTTGATGGTACTGAAAAATCAGCAGCAACAGAATAATGTGCAATCCTGAAAAAATTCTTGAATTATTTCTTTCATTGTTGGCCTATAATTATGATACATGGGGGCATGTTTTCAACTATGCAAATTTGAATTTACTAAAAAATTTTGGTTTAATTTACAACAACGTTAATTTACTTGCGAATAGAAAAAGTATGTATTATTTGAAAGGTTACATAAGCCAGCTACTCATAGTAAAATCAAGAAAATATTAATAAAAAAGTACTTACATCAAAAGAAGCAACGAGTTAAACGTCATTTTGTTCCTTGATATTTTTGGTAAACACAGTTTATGTACTCTTTCTAAAATGGAATGATTTTTTGCACCAATTGCAATGCTGTTAATGGCATTATCTAATCAGAAAAATATCGTGATGTTGGATGCATGTGATTATGTATTTAGTTTTGTAAAACAAAAATGTGGACGATCATCTGACAAATCAGGTGATATATAACTATTTTTTGTAAATAATAATAATACTCGTAATAACATGTAGGTAATTATTCCAGTTATCTGATGGTGGAAACGGGTAACTGTTATAAAAAAAATAGCAAAACATTGGCAGATACACTGATGAACAAAAACACGATTAGCCCGTCACACCAAACTTTTATTTTAATAGCACAACGCGTTTCGACCACAAAGTGGTCATCCTCAGGTGAGAA